GAGTACCAATGCTCTTATTTATCACACAAACATCTGCCCCTACCGGCACTCGAACCCGGGACCTCTCGAGTCAGCAACACCATGAAACCCGGCGTACAAACTACTCGGCCACGGAGGTCGTCATAACTACATAACTTGGCCAAAACTTGGTTCTGATTGCGTCGTTGCTCTTGGGTGTTCCGTGATATGCATTGCTTCATTTTTATTATCAACAAGTGACCCGCCCTCACTTCGTTACATGTAAATTAAATAGGTAATGTTTCCGTTTTCCGACTTCTAATCTAAGACACCTCGCGCAATAGACGGCCACGACCACCACCAGTTTTGGCCGTGACCACAACCTTGACCGCAGAAGATATGGTTTTGATGCGTTCAAGTTTGCGGCCACAACCACGACTAGCCATAAAGCGGCCACAGTGCTTGTTTTTCTTTATTTCATTAATAATTATAACTATGTATCAAAACCGTCCTTATGACACTGAGGCCCGTATTACAGAATGAAAACTAAGCGTTGATCTTTACTTGAGTACAGTTAGAAAGGGAGTCGCTATTAGCTATATATAGCGACATCCCTTTCTAACTATGCTCAAGACTAGATCAATCACTGAGAATCTCTTATCTATTAGACAAGTCCGTCCGTCCATCCGTCCGTCCGTGGTGCTGTTTCAGCGGCCAAACCGTAAGAGATAGATATAGAGAATGTTTAAGTTATAAGTTAAGAATAGTCTGATAAGACTACAAACCGGATGTGAGTAACGTAGCACTTCCGGTTTTCGAGAAATCACGTGATTTCTATTTCAAACGAAACCACACAAAATCTCCGAAGTTCTCAATTAATTAAATACTTTTTTTTTTTGGTGAACATTTGGTTCACAGGTTTGCTAGTCTTTCTATAATACGGGCCTGAGAATGGTTGGTCACGGCCTGGCCGCATTCATGATCGCAGATCTAGTGCACAAGCGCTCACTGCGTTGATAAGTGGAGAACAACGACCAATAGTGCCAGCACGGTGCGGTGTGCGTCCTGTTGGCCGCTGTGGCCAAGTGCGAGACGCTCATATTATTTCTTTAGCTAATCTGGACGTTGCAGCCATTGGTTGTGGTCATGGCCATCTAGTGGGCCAGGTGCCCAACTGATGGTGAAAACCTCAGCAAAACCTGTCGCATGTTCAAAGAAGACTTAGTAAATATACAGACAGACACGAAAAGCCACTTTCTGTTAATATACTATGCACAGATAATTTGGCTGGAATATAGAATGATTAAATAAACAATGACAAAAAAAAATCATAAAAGACAATGTTGAAAATGACAATGAACTCTATGACAGTTAATAATTTTGCAGTAACATTTTAACACGGTTATTACTAAGTAACGGCAACTTTATACAATCTTATTATGAACTCAACGCGTACGCATATTAAACCATTACCCCTTGTTGTATTACGAAAGTGGTAGTTATCTCTAAGAAGCAGCTCTGGAGCTCTCGCTTAAAGCAATTTCCTTTAGGAGAAGCTCTTGAGTAAATAATTCTCGCATATGAGAAGGTTTATTCGTGTCTGTGAGCTGTTATGATATTTTGTTATTACCGACGACGTGAATAGGAAAGCTTTCACTTTCTTTTGTTTTCAAAACGCAAATTTCAGCTGAAGGGTTTTGGTTACTTAGTTTCTCCTTAGTTCAGGTGCCTATTTCTTATCCCACACCTCCGTGACAAAGCTTTGGTACTAAAATGCGCTAAAATTGGAGTTTGAACTTTGAATTAAGTACGTTCCTTCAATGTACCTACATACAAATTTATCCTTTTACACAACCTCTTTTAGCGTGTAAGCTATCGTCGTTCATCTATAGATACGCGGACTGATGATCATATCTTAGCGAATTGTTTAATTTTCTGACTACCAGAAACAGAACTGACATTAAGTCAATCCAAAAATAGAATTTTCTCTAATGCTTTGACATATTAGTGAGAACCTTTCAAAATCATAGTAACTTTGAGTTTTAAACATATTAGACTAAAAACAATTTTATAAGAAAGTCTTTATTGACCCGAAAAACCTCAGTTGAAAATCGAAGCCGCAATCATCTTATCTTATATTAAAATCCTCGTGTCACAATGTTAGTAACCATACTCCTCCGAAACGGCTTGAAATTTTTTATGCATATTCAGTAGGTCTGAGAATCGGCTATTATCTACTTTTCATACCCCAAAGTGATAACGATTGTCCCCTAACATTTTTAATAATGGTTTTTTTTTTCATTTTTGAAGTTATACTTCTTTAGGCGCGTTATGAAAAAATGATGAGAGTGAAATTTTTAGATGCGCGCGCATCACTGTAACCCAAAAGTAACAGCATGAAGTTGGCCGCGGGCGCGTTAAGAAAAAATCATGTGAGTAAAATTTCGAGATGCGCGCGCATCACTGTAACACAATAGTAACACCATGAAGTTGGCCGCGGGCGCGTAATGAATGTTAGATTATTAACCACTAAGTTGTTAATAATCCACCATTATTAGACATCTGTTCGAAAGGTACTTTGAACGATCCACGGAGCTCCATAAGATGATCGCGTTGTCAAAAACAATGTTGGCACGCTCGTCGCCTCAGATCACTGTTTTCATATTTATAATATTAATCCACATGTTTCTAGTTTCTATATAGACACAACGTGTTTTAGTTACTTACAAGTGCTAATTACATATGGACTAATAACTTAAATTCAGTAGTGATTTTAATTGAATATTTTGAATATTTATTTAATTTTTCAAATTAAAGCTGAACTTAATTGACTGTGTTAACTATCCTTTTCCAGTCCTTTTATTATTTTATTGTAATTATTAATTATTTGCATGCAATTAAAAAATATTTTTAATGATGCTAAAGAAGTATAACTTCTCACGCGCGTACATAAGTTACACGCATCCACTTTTTTTTTATAATGTTGCATTAAAAGTACATACAACTCAAAATTTTCACTCTTCTACCACCAGCCCTTATTTTAATGGTGGTACGAAGTTTGCTGGGTCAGCTAGTTTTTAAATAAAAACTTGATCTTTGTCTTATAGCATAGTGATTACTATTTCTGATGAGGGAGAATTGCTGTGCAACTTTTGAAGAAGACTCATTATTTCTTCTGTCAAAAAGAAGTGTTGTTACGTTTTCTGTAAGAAAATATTCTTCTGGAATCGAGGATAAGAAAAGACTGGCGGCCCATTATTTTGGGCCCTTAGTTTCTCCAAAACTTAAAACTCTACCGATCTCGTACATCTTTTTTTTTAAGTAATTTGAATTTTGAAAATCTTTGCTGAAATCTGCGTGGAACACTATTTAATTGTGACGAAGGTACGGTTTTAACCGTAGCTTGCTCGCCTTCGTGTTAGTATTAAATAAAACCCAAAAATGCTGTCTGTACCATACGGTATCTATTTCATTTTATCTATTAAATCGAATCCAGCATTCAATTTGAAAAACCCAAACAACGAAAACGTCATATTGTCACATTCACATATATTTTTGGCGCTCTTTTATCCAATGTTTCATATTTATTCCATTCGGCAGTGTCAGACTCCGGATTTTCGTACCTATAACACACGGCATTTTTATATTTCACTTAATTTTTTTTTTCAATAAAAGCCGTGCGATGCTCGATGAAATAAAAACTCGATAAGTTGTGAAATATTGCCGTATTGGAGATGTATTAACAATAGCCGTTAATCCAGCTGTGACGATGTCGATAGCGGCGCCGACGAGGTGAACGGTTTATTTACATTTCCATAAACGTTCCCGAATGAGATATATTGTCACTGTGACTTTTTGTTTTTATTATTATTATTATTATTTCATCACTCGTATAGTCACAGGTCACAATTAGTATATTACTAGTATGTAGAGATATAGACTTAAAGGAAATTTACATAATTGATAGTAATTATAAAAAAACTAGCGGCCCGCCCTCGCTTCGCTTCGGTGTAGAGCTGAAGTGTATGTAGACTACAGTTTTTGTTCTCAGGCTTGTATTATACACAATGACATTCATCTATGATTCTTCTTATACCTACATGCATAGTCTCAGCCCGATCGGTTTAAAATTGACAAAGTTTCATACAAACTTTCATGCCCTATTTTATCCTCTTGGGGGTAGAATTGATCAAAATCCTTTCTTAGCGGGTGCCTATGTTCATTTGTTGTCATCAAATTTCAGGCCGATCCGTTCTGTGGTTTGGGCTGTGCGTTGATAGATCACTATGTCAGTCTGTCACCTTTTAGTTTTATATATATATATACATATATATATATATATATATATATATATATATATATATATATATATATATATATATATATATATATATATATATATATATATATATATATAGATATGTTAAGATTATTGGATACCATGTATCTTGTTTTAAGCGAATTTCGCATATTTTGGCACTGTTGCAAGCGCCATGATCACGGAGTAACTGAAGTTAATGCGGGTGGGCTGTTATTGACAGATATATCGTTAAAAAGAAGGTACATGGTAACAATCCCGTAAAAAACTTATATTACTATATTGTTAGTGACCATGAAAGTTTAAAACAATATAAGAAGTTAAGAACTAAAATTATAATACATATTAACTTATATTCTATGATGAAACGCCTTATTTAAGTTATAACTATCTATAATCGCAAGCTATTGATTATGTTTGGGTGCTAACACAACCGTGACAAAAAGCTATGGCAACGATATGTTATTTCGATAAACTCTCTCAGTCTTTTTTATATTTTATGAGGGTTGCAATGCAAACAAGTGTTTAATAATACAAAACAGTGACTTACAGAAGAAATGTCGTTTCATTAATTAAATGCTCGAATGCCAAAGTGATCAGAATGAGTGAAATTAAAACAAATAAATAACAATCGTGAAATAGTGATTTGTTAAGAAAACAATTCGAAAACAATAATAGCATCGTGAATAAAGTTATAACTTCAAATGGTTAAAAATTCACAATAATGTCGAACAAAACATATTCGGATTTGCTTTGTGAGACTTCAGAACTCATTGTAGAAGCAACACAAGCAGACGAAGCGGTCTTTGAAGCGGGTGCAGCTGATCGTCAAGCGCTGCAGCCGCTCTTATCAGAATTGAGGATACGCTACACCGTACTTATGGCGAGGTTGGACGCCGTGTATGATCAAATGCTGCAGCCACAAAAGCGTTTGATTGTCAAAAGGTTACTCGAAGCGTGCATGGGAAGGCTGATAGAGATCAAACACGATTTAGTTGAAATCAACATGTCGGACTATACTTACGACGACGATGAAGTAAGTATCTATAGGAGAAAATAGAAAACTTAAAGAAATAGAAATATCAGTAAATATTATGTTTTTGTAAGCATTTAACTACTAGATGTTTAGATCTAAAGAAAAGTTTTACTAGATTTTTTTTCTGCCGCGGCCGCGCATAATTGGTCAGTTCGCCCGGAATGGGAATAAAATTGTGCGGGTTCGAGTTCCGTCCGCTGCCTCGTCCGCGTGGATTTTTTCTAGTAAAACTTTTCTTTAGGTCAGTAAATGTGTCTATCTATCTGAAGTGTTTTTTTGGAAATGACAATAATTAGATCTTAATAAGTTCTGAGAAGTTACTTCTTAGATTAAGTTTGCTATTAAACGTATACCTATTTTAATTACTTTGCTTATGCATCATAAGAAGATATCAATTTTCCTTTTTTTAGATTTTGATACATTCTTGATAAAACTGTGCATCTAATCTTAATATACACACATCAACATGCATCATTTTATTATAAAAAGTTATTGAAACTATTAATATGTTTACCATAGTCGCTTCTTAAGCTGCAAGTAACACCATACGAAGCGGAACCTGTCGTGCCTCAGTATTTCATTAGGGAGAGGGAGCAAGAGGTAGAAAGTCGGCGACAATTTATCATAGACACCTTGACAAAACTAGGCCACGAACCACCCAAACCTCAACCTCTAGTATTGACAGAGCAACAAGCAGTACTCATAATACAAAGCCACGAGAGAGCGCGGCAAGGACGATTGAGGTAAGAAATCATCAAATAGATACAAGAATAGATCGTATTAAAAAGGGTCTGATAGATAAATCAGAATTTAGGTACTTGTGATATTTCTAAATATTTTTATTCAAATTTTTATTGAAGTACACGTTGGGGTTATTATCCTCTGTAGAGAGAGGATAAAAACCGTCGTAAAATTGTATCTATTAATATCAGTGAATTGAAATATGTATTTTCAACATTACAAAAAAATTAATCGTATTTCATTTTGATTAAAATAAAATCTTAGGCTGAGTTGAACGGACGGAATCGTCTGTATTATTATGCTTACATTATAATCGTGAATATTTAAAAGAACTCTTGTTTACATTTAATAATCATGAAACTGATTTATATTATGCTTTGTTTAAACAATGATTTGTACATAGTTTGATGTAAATAATGTTTATAAAGGGGTCAATTTATGAAAGAAATCCGGCTGCTAAAGGAAAAAGGAAGAGACCAGAAAGGAGAAATGTCAGCAACCGCAGCGACGGCCATACAAAGGGTATGGCGAGGATTTATAGCAAGGAGGGAGACGAGGAGGAGAAAACTAGACGAACAGCTATTGATAGGAATGGAATTACCGCCATACACAGAATCACAAGAGCTGCAACGAGCTGATGAGGTAGCAAATATTATAGATTATTAGAAATAAGTACTTCATAAAAGTCATTGAAACGTGAAGTTAATACAAGACTCACGTAAGATAACTTAAAATTAAAACTCAATTAATTTAATGATATCTTATGTATATTCTAGTACTTAGACGCGGAAGAATCTCTAAACGGGGATCTCGCGGTTTTGCTCTAAGCAGCTTAGAGGGTATTCGCAGGGTTTTGTAAGCGGATATTATGCCGTGAAGCGCCCGTAAGAGTTACGGGCTCCTCAGTGGGCAGCTGCTGCTGGGGCTCGTAAGGCTTGCGAGAGCCAGGTGTGAGGTCGGTTCGGCGGTGTGCCTCTTAATGGCGCCGTCGTCTGTAAATAGTATTTTTTGCCTGCGTATAAAAAAAAGGTATATTCCAGTACCAAGAAAATTACCTATGAAAAAAACTGAAATATAAACATTTCATGAATTTATTTCTAGGTGAAAGAATATCGTCGTAAGCTTCAAAAGGAAAGAGAGGAAGAATACAGAAAAGCTTTAAATACCATTGAAGAATTTATACGATCAAAAAATGGGACTAAAATAAACGAGCAAATAGGTGACGAACTTCGTAGGTGGATAACAGAATACTATGAAAGAACTGAGAGGTTGCCAGAATTCCCTTCTGAAGAAGGTGGCGGTAGTCGAGCCATGTACAGCAGACAGGGTAAGCTTTGAGGTCTATTTTAAGTAAACATAAGGTAATAAGTTGAATTTTTTCGCTTCGTCACGAGCTGCTGGTCAGTCCATGTGTAATCCAAGTGCAGCCAAAATCAAAACAAGATCCCCATCTTTAGCTTGCCGGGATATGAGTCAAGAGGGCTTACAGGAATCTTAACCTTGCTTTGCCCTAATTACTTTGGTGAGAATACTCATCAAGCTATATTTTCGTAGGTATAAAACGAAATATGGTTATGACGCCAGTTGGCACATTGTTACTATGTCCAACTATTGCCGCCGAAGACCATGCTGCTCGATTGTTATCGTAGCAATTACAGGGGAGCCCAATAGTTGTCGCTAGACAGTTTTCATGATGCTTAAACCATAAATAACCATTTGATAAAATAGTGCAATATATAATGGTATCTTGAACTCATTAATTCTTATCTTAAACATAGATAACAATGCACGAAGTCAACTAAAATTTATCTTTTATGTGGAGAAGTTTAAGAAATACTCATCGGAACATAAAACAAAATGTGTGGTGTATCACAAGGCAATGTACTCGGCTCACTACACTATACACTTTATAATATTTATATATGATATTATAGAATCATCTAAACACTGGACAAGGGTCGAACTGCCTTTGACCCAGGTATCTGAACATTTACTAAAGAAAAGTTCATGAACGCCCATAGTTATTAATTCACTCCAATATTTATAAGTTCTGAACAACTTACAATAATTTATTGTAATTTATTTAAAAAAATATATTATTTAGTCTTAAAATAAACTACGCTATATCAAAAAAACATATAATAAAACTAGTTCAAGATTTCCAATACACAAAAAATGCCGTATAACTTCTTATTCTCAATTGTCCAATTTAAGGCACAGGTATGGATAGTGAATTAAGTAAGATGTCACCAGTATCTTCCAAAGATTCAAAACGCAGTAAGGAAAGCAAAGACAAAAAGAGTAGCAAAAATGGCGATAATAATAAACCAAAAGAGGAGCCAGAAGATTTAAACATTTATCAATGTTCCAGTTCATGTTTTCTGCAGGACATTGTCAATGCTAATGAAGAGTAAGTTAAACATAAAATACAACATTTATCCAATTAATAACTTAACTATTACATCATCATTTTGTCTTTTGTAGGTTTGAAGATATTTGGAAATTCAAAGACGATATTGATAATCCCCATGAACGCTACTACAAAGACATGATAGAAAGAGAGAAAATGGTGAAAATAGAGCAAGAAATACGTAATATAGTAGACGAGATGATGAGAAATGAGTTAGAGCTGCTGCAAGCAGCTTTTAACCGAGACATGGCAGCAAAAGGCAAGAAAGTGAAAAAGCAGCAAAAGAAAGTACAAAGACAGTTTTCTTTAGAAATAAAGCGAAAATAAGCAAGCTTTAACAAATCAAAAATATTTATAAATTCTGAGTGGTGTTTCTAATGTAGTTTATCGTATTTTTAAGGTGCGACGTGGAGGCAAGAAAAGCAAAAAGAAGAAGGAAAAGGATTTAACACCAGACAGAACTACGGAATCTCTTTTTGAAGAGTTAGTATCAAATGGAATTATAAAGCCTTATCCCTTAGTAAAAATAGACGATTTCATTGGAGAGAAAGGTTATCTTGGTTCTCAGTTTAGAAACGAGGGTCGAGATCCTTCCCCCTGCCTTGGTGATGTAAGGCAATTGATAAAAGAGTATTGTATTTTACCTCTGGGGTCAGAACATGTTCGTACTAATGCACCTTTGATTAGATCCGTTCTTATATCTGGTAAGTTCTGTGATTCTATTTAGAAATATATTAGTTTCCTTTATCATCTCATCTCATCTATTGATCATTTTTACCCAAAACAGGTCCATCGGGCAGTGGTAAAAAGATGTTGGTTCATGCCATCTGTAGCGAAACTGGCGCTATGTTATTTGATTTGACACCTGCGAATATAGTTGGGAAATATCCAGGAAAGACAGGATTGATAATGTTGATACATCTGGTTATTAAAGTATCTAGGCTCCTGCAGCCATCAGTGATCTGGATGGATGAGGCTGATAAACCATTTGTCAAGAAGATACCAAAGACAGATAAAACGGATCCAAAGAGGTTGAAGAAGGATTTAGTGAAGATCATAAAAGGTAATAAACATAAGTTATAATGGTAGCCTTAGAAGTTAAGTATTGGTAAAACATCTTAATGATTTTATAAAAATTAAAATAATTTAATACAAGTTTTCTAGTTTTATTGAAGAGAACATAGCATAACGAACACTTAATATCATTTACAAAACATTTACTGCGCAGGTATTTACCCAGAAGACCGCGTCATATTTGTGGGAACCTCAAAAACACCCTGGGAGGCAGAACAAAAGCTACTTGTTCAGTGTTATAATAAATTCATTCAGATACCAAGAGCTGATTACGGTAGCATATCTATAATGTGGAGAACAAGATTACACAAAGCTGGAGCTCTATCTCCTAGACTAGATCTCTCATGTCTGTCGAGAGTTTCTGATTCATATACCATAGGTACTGATTCATATATTTTTTCTTTGAGTGCTTTGACTTAATTTTCATAGTCATCAGCTATCACTGTAAATTAATAATAAATAACAAATAAATAACAGTTTTGGAGCTCACTATTTGCTATGAATAAGTATACTTTTTAGATAGCTGATTTTATACAAGATACTCTCATTTCAATATTTTTTAAAAGTATAACAATACATATTAATAATATTTTGTGTGCCAAGGTGCCATGCTCAAAGTAGGTAAGAATCGAGCATTACTTGGTACGACTCTTACATACACTTTTATGTGTATCTTAATAAATTCTTAATATCTACTAATAAAAAATAAGTCCCAATCTTAAGATAATAAAAAAATACATCAAAGTGTTGTTATAATTAACAACACAATGATTAAAAAAGGCAGTTTGATTGAAATATATTTTTATTAGAAAGATATTATAAAAAAGGAAAATCAAAATGAATCATTGAGTTGTTCGTTGTTTCATCTATAGTTAAATTTGACTCAAGTTAAAATAACCATTTGTCAAAATTTTATACATTTACTCGGTATTTGACGTAACCTTAACCAAAGTCAAACTTAACTAATAAATGAAATATTCAATTTCACTCTGGTTTCAATCTGTGCAGAAAAGAAAGTTTATGAGGGATTTAAAATCATATTTCAGGCACTTTATTGACTGCTTTAAACGATGTATTGACAACGAAGAGACGCTTACAGCTGCGAATACGTGCACTAACAGCACAAGAAGTTGCTGTCCAACTAAGTTACAGGGAGCCTGTTTACGCGGAGCAGGTCAGTTTTTTACGCTGTTCCAGTGTGGTTCTGATCAGCATTTACTTCGTTAATGTCTCAATCAAAGTGGCTGTTAGTTGTTTGAATAATGTTTTGTTTATCAAACTTCTAACTTTATAAAATATTTTGACATGTTTTGTCAAACTCAACTTATTGGGTTTGAGGAAAATAAACTATACTAGAGATACGAAGTAAAGCTTAAACGATTGTTTGTTTATTATATATTGACAACGGAAAAGCTTGGCTTATACGCCATTTTGGTGCAACTTAAATATTAACTTATTCAGTTTTTGTTTAACGTTAATTTTTAAGTATTACCAAAGTGTCTAAGTGATTTTACTTTCTACTGTCGATATAAATATATTTTTATTGTTTTTAAATATGTTTTGACCTAAAAATGTATTGAACGACGGGATGATATTGACTTGAATAAAGACATTTTGTTTTTAACTGAAAAATCAGATATATATTATAATAACATAATGAAGCATCGAGTCAACAAAAACGTGGAACTTATAACATACATTCTTGTACAGATTTATTTATATTAAGAGTACATTAGAATGAGACTGATATTCCATAATGAAGTCTTTGATTCAGTTCTATGTAAACAAACCAACCTATGTTATATTGCTTTATCTAGGATGCGGCAGCCGAATCGTGGTGGTTGAAGACACCGATGGAGAAAAAACGACAAAAGATAATGCAGAGAATACAAGAACTCCAGCAAGAAGCAGAAGAGAAGGCTGCTGCAAAATAAGACAATACAAACATTTTCACTATTTCATATATAAGTGACAGTTAAAAAATAAAAGGACGGGTTGCACTCCGGGAGTGCCGGCAGAAGTGGAAAGTTGAATATTAACGTTGTGCATTTTGAAATTTTGGAATGGTTAGGGAATAATTTTGCACGAATTACTTTAATTATCAGTATAAAAATACTATCATTTATGTGGTAGAATACAATATTTATTCATTGCGCTATCGTACACAAACATGACAATTTATATTACATTAAAAAAGTTTATCTTTCAGAAAAATAAATTTACATGAATCACGTTAAAGAGCACTTAGCGACATCTATTGTAAAAAAATCAACTTACATGAATCACATTTAAGCGCACCTAGCGACATCTATTGTAAAAAAATGCATTTTCTTCGCAATAAAGCTACCACCTGGACTTTCTAGATAGAGACTTCTTATTATAATACGATAAAATAAAATATTACTATGTTTCGTCCAATATATTGAAAGTCAACAACCTTTCCATTTCTATTGTTTTCGTCAGATCCCCGATCAGGCCACATGTCGTGACGCGATCAACCCACGAGTCCTGACGCGAGTTCAACATTTTTTACCCAGACAAAAAAAAAAGTGTGCAACGCCGCTAAAGAAGTTTTCACTTCAAAAATATGTTTTAACTAATTGGCCAAAGTATCAGACTGGACTCGAATTTTTGATTAAGTATTCGATGTAGATTTACAGCCTAGATAGAAAACAGTTTTTTTTTTTACTTTAAAAAGACGGCAAGCAATTATGACCCGCCTGATGATAAGCGGTCACCGTCGTAGGCAATAGATGCTTGTGATACGTAAAATATCACTCGCATCGTTGCCTACACTAATCAATTCCGTGGAGCCCTGGAACCTTAATCTATATATATAAAACTCAAAGGTGACTGACTGACTGACATAGTGATCTATCAACGCACAGCCTTAACCACTGGACGGATCGGGCTGAAATTTGGAATGCAGGTAGACATTATGACGTAGGCATCCGCTAAGAAAGGATTTTGATCAATTCTATCCCGAAGCGAAGCGAGGGCGGGCCACTAGTTACCAATATAAGACAACACCACCAGAGGGTATTGTTAATTTACTATGTATCTTTCATTTAAAATGATAGGTGATAACAATTGTATTGAGGTATTTCGAAAGTAAACGAGAAGCGCCCTGTTTTTCAAGTTATGCAAAGATCTATGGTTTAAAAAATATAAAATAACTTTTTAATTATAAGCACAAAAACCTTGTAAATTTTAAAGGCTGGACCAATCATATTGATTAATAAAATAAATGTATTATTTAATTTATTAAACAATTAGTTTTTATTTTCGATTTAAACGTCTAGCTAGCAGTTAAATGGTTAAAAAATGAAAAAATATAAAGATTAATTTTGTTTCTATAATTGAGCGTTAATTCAATTTCTAAATTTTCAGATAGGTCTGAAGGAGCTCATTTAGACCCAGTTGCATCAAATTTGCTAAATCTCAAATCAACGAAATCTAGACATAATCCATAGAAAAATCACAAAATGTCAATGTCAATTTGACATCATTGTTTTAATGTTACAAACATTATTTTTATTTATCCATCGATTCACAAATTCCATGTCCCTTTTCACTTTTTTTAACGCTTATATAAGAAACAGAAAACTGATCAAAAGTTTGATTATAAATTACTTAGTACATACCTACTGGACTTTAGCGGAACTTGTAACACCCTCGAGAAATGTTCGAGGTTTAGGGCCAGACGAGGCGGCGAGAGCACCTGGCCTTTCCCACGAGTTTCAAGGGGAGAAATTAAAGCTAAGACCCGATTGGAAAATCATGTTGGAAGATCTTCACGGCGCTTCTACTACGGAAGGGTTGTTTCCGATTTAGCGATTTACACTTGCGAAACTTTTGATGTTTCAGTTTAGTTTAAAAATGGGATAGTGCGATGTTTTGGAATATTAAAAACTTTTTAGCAAATAAATTAAACCGCCGGAAAAACTGAAAAGCGGAAAATAATAATTCTTTTTTAACTTTCCACAAATGAATGTTAGCAGTAGCAGTCGGTGCCATACATGTCTGATAGATATGAGTTTCAGTTTACTATTTGTTTCTTAGGTTTGCTTTTTGTTTCTTGCAATAAAAGTTTTATTCTGACGACGTAGCCTGTAAAGACTACGAAACGTCAATAAATAAATAAAGTTTTCGTGCATTAACCCGTAAAAACTAGTTTTATTCAGTTTACTACTTGAGTTAGCATAGCACCGACTCAAATAGTAATTGGACTAAGGATAAAAAGGTTTATTATTTTCAGCTTTTCAGTTTTTTCAGCGGTTTAATTATTATTTGCTTAAAAGTTTTTATTTTATTATTTTTTGTTACTTTAATTTTTGTAATATACAACTCGGCATCGAAATCTATGAGTGAATAATCACCCTTAAAATAGTCTTAGCAACCCCTAAATCGTTTTAAAGGATCTATTCAACGATACTCGATACCACACGAGGGGGTAGATGGTGAAAACCAAAATTCATTCCCACTTTATGTAAAAACCTACCCTAAAAAGGTTTTTTTTCTTAAATTTATATGGGACCAACTTCAGAGTATACCCTTCCAATAAAAAAAATAATTATCAAAATCAGACTACTCTGTAAAAAGGTATGCGTGATCAATGATCATACGTAGAAAAAAAAATATACACGTAGACTTGATAACCGCCTCCCGTTTTTTTGTCGATTGAAAACACGCTTAACTTTTGTTTATGGGTTCACATTTGCAGATTATCAACTAGAAACCAAATTTAAATATATAAATAAATATCCGAACGCTCGATAAGTCTTTCGAAGGTAGCTCGACAAAGTAAATAAAAAATCATTATTCTGACGATGCAGAAACGAAAAGGCTGCGAAACGTCAATAAAGAAATAAATTTCTTGCATTAACCCGTTAAAACTAGTTTTATTTAATGAGTGATGTGCGGGAAAACCTAAGAAACCTAAGTTACTTATATAAAGAAAATGTTACTAGGAAAAAATCTACGCGGTCCAGGAAGCAGATATTTTTCTATTAAAATTTCTTTAGTTTTAAAACATCTAGCAGTTAAATGCTTAAAAAAATATAATATGATGAAGTAAAACTTACTATATATTAAATAATTTTCACTTATATACTATTTACTGTACCGAATGATGCATAATAGAATTATTATACAAAGTTTGGTTTAGATTAATTGTTTCTGATAATGATAATGATGATAGTGTAGTTTAACGCATACCATGAATTTTGTGAAAAACACTTTGTGACCGAATACAAAGCACGAATAATTATTTTTGTCATTATTCCTTAGGTTTCCGTCCCTTAACAGGCTCCGTGGTAGCAAGTTATTTATTCAATGATACATAAAAAAAATAAGTACGTAATTGTTCCATTTTGTCTTTGGAAGATTTCCTCATAAAATTGGGGGCATGGACAGACACGAACCTCGATATTATGTATAAGTTGCAAAAATCTCTAAAAACATTCTTCAACTTTCCTTTCCGCATAAAAAGAGCCACAAACAAAAAGAGGAAGTGAGTATTCATAAAAACTCGAACACTGGGCAAAATCTTCAAAGAGAAACGAAATCTTAGGTGGCAGCAGCATCTGCACCTCTCCCACGGGTATTTCAATGGAGAAATAAAAGCCAATATCCGATTATTGAGAGTCTTAATATTCTGGGCGATTTGTGATTAGACAGCGTTTTAATGCAATAAATAGTTCTGCAAATTGAACGAATCGGCCATTTGTTGTAAAAAATATGAAATCATAATAGGCGAGAATAGGGGTGATGACGGGGTACAGTAAACGAAATTCTATTTAGTCCGTCAGTTCGATGATCAAAAAATAATGCACAGGTATTTTTTCTTCGGGCAATCAACCGAAAAATGACAAAGTTATAGCGCGTCAAAGTTTGGGAGTAGGGGCTCGTGACGTCACTTTTAATTGAAAATTGTACCAAAACGTGACGTCATGCGACTTTTCAAATCAATACATCTCTGCAATGTTTATATTATGTGAAAAAAGAAAAAATACGTATCCAATACTTTTCGATAATCTACCGGATAAACGAAGAAAAAAAATTAGTCATCATCCCTATTGATAAAGGTAGTTTCGATGGTCTTCGTAAAATTTTTCTTGAATGGACCCCTCTTTTAGGAAGTAACCTACACATTAGAGAAGACTATAGTGGTATAATACTACCAAGAGGCTGAAGGTGTTATGGTCACCTTGATCAGCCTTAAACCAATCTCTTTGGAACACACACGAAGTCCTGGTACCATAACCACAGAAGAAGTAGGTAAAGGTACCAAAAATAGCCATGATTATTTTAATGACTTTTTAAAAATTAAACTACTTAATGGAGTTACAACGTATAACATAAGTTTGAATTATAAAACGAACCACTTCATACAAAAAATCGGTACTTACACAGTTTTTGAGATCACAAAGGGATCGCACAAAGGCTTAATACACTAACACCCTTCTAAGAAATAAATACAGAAAATCTGCGCAGGGCGCTCACAGCCTTTGTCGTGAGGTAAAAAGAGAATTTTTCACTTACTACCCTTTTTCTGTGTGCCCACTTGCTGTACTTTGTTTTGTGCGCGCTTGTTTGATCATGCCGCCATATTTTATTTATCGTAATTTTTTTTCGTTTTGTTAATGTTAATTAATGTTGCATTCTTATTTTGTTATTGTTACCAAAACACTACAAAAGTTGCTTACTGTATAACTGGAGCTATATTTCTGAAAGAAATGTATGTATGTAAGCGAGCTATAAGCTTGGTAGTAAACCACTTAGTGGTATACTGACTGATATTTACTTAGTCTGAATAAAATTTCAGACTGATATTTACTAAAGCGCTTATTCCACCTGACTAAATTCAGACGTCCTAGTTAGGATCCTAAAAAGAAGACTAATTAGATTAAGAGCTTCTGATTACACTTGACTAATTTAGTTACTGATTCAGTCAGTAACAAGCGCGAGGCGGATTCAGTCGGACTTTTTCGTAATGGCTCCAGTCCTGTCAAAGCAATAAAAAATCTGTCTTCTCGTAGGCTTGGCCGTTGGCTCAACAAAAATGAAATAAAGTAAAAAACGAAAAACGTGGTTGAAAGATTATTAATATTATTTTTATTATTTTTGTTCCAAAGATACGGCATATATTTATACAATTCGATTATAGTTATAATTTTTATTATTTTAAAGC